ATGCATGCCAGTGCTGTGTGTGAGGTAATTTAAGGTGGTTCTGACAAGTGTCGTCGGCATCTTCATATCCGGTCACATGGTCGGCAAGCCACTCCTATCTGGTCACATGGGTGGCATGCCACGCCCACAAAGGAGGCCACACCCACAGAGTAGATTCGAACAATTTTTGAAACGCACCACTGCCTTGGGGGTGGGGGTTAACAACAGTGTTGTTGTTCACCAATATAGCCAGATAATGCCACAACTTACAGAACTCTAAACTGCTGAATGACATCTTCCCTTTCAGTCTCTGGAGACCACTGTTATGGTGGAGAGGGTGTGCAGTGGAGATATGGCCTCATCTTTTGGGTGGGTTGACAACTTGTGATGTTCTCCATTTTATGAGCTGGTCCTGCAAGAAACCTTAGGGGTTTTTCCAGTGTTTTCGTTTAGGTTTTGTCTGTATCCATATTATTTTTTGTCTTGTTTTTCTTGGATCAGGAATCAGAAGTCAAGGGGCATTGACGTATACAATCACCGTGGAACCTTCTGTCACTGTACAGCGTGGTCTTGCTGTTCATATTCCATGCCAGTTCACTTATAACCAGGCAGACCTGTGGCGGTCTGAGAAGATATTTGCTTATTGGATTAAGCATCAATCTTCATTCTGTTTTCCATCGGATGATAGAGCCTGCAGGCCTGTCGCTACCAACAAGCAATATGAGAGTGTCGAACTTTCGGCTAAGAACCGCTTCCATTTATTAGGAGATCCAAAGGAAGGAAATTGCTCACTTTTCATCACAGATGCTCGCATAGAAGATGAAGGGGAATACTTCTTGAGAATTGAGGGGCGACCTAACTTAAAATATTCTTTCGTCATAAAAACACTTAATGTTAAAGTGATAGGTAGGTAGTTTTCTGTTGTTGGATGAGTTATTCATTTTGCTGTTTTGGTTTCTTTTATATAATGAAGAGATCAGAAAAGATCTAGGACCGAGGTGTCAAACTTGATTTCATTGAGAGCCACATCAGGGTTGCCTTTGATCTTTGGGGAAGGAGGTGTAGACAGGGTGGGCGTGGCCAGCTCAACGTCACTTGTGTTGGGGGTCCCTGTGGTGGCCCAAGAGCTCTGCCAGCACAAACGGGCTCCCGAGCTCCATTTCCAGCTGCAACGGCCTCCTGCAACCCTCTCAGTGAAAACGGACCTCAGGAGGGCTGCCTGCAAACCTCCTGAACTCTATTGTCACTGGAAGAGCCACTGCAGGCTGGTCTTCCCCTGTTTTCTAAACACTCTATGGACCGGATGTGGTCCGCGGGCCTCGAATTTGACATCCCTAATCAGTGGTGAAATTCATTTTTTTTTTTACTACCGGTTGGGTGTGGGTGTGGCTTGGTGAGCATGGTGTAGTTTGGTGGGCGTGGCTTGGTGGGCGTGGCT